TCTGTAACATCTTATCTCCACCAAACCTTGTTAACATTGTTCTTATATAAAAAGTAATAATTTCCCATGTAGCTTTCAACATGTATTTGCAGAAAGTAGAACTGTATAAAACTATGTGTCATTAAAAATAAGAACCCCAAGCTCACTTGGTGCAATCACTGACTGATTGCATTATCTCTACTTAAATAGGATCTAGCTCAAAACAGTTATGTAGCTTAGTGGTTAATTTGTACTAAAAGCAAAAACGTGTTGAGTGAAGAAAAACATTAATAACATGAAACTAAGGATGCGTATCTCATCATAGTAGTTGATACAGAATGTATCTAGATATTGATGCCGCAGTACGATGCTTATCTAGATATAGTTTTACCACCGGTTTGGTACAAAGTTTGACAGTCTTGTCTTTAATTTATGATCTATATTACTAACATTGTCTTTTATGTGTGTGTATATATATATATAAGTACTTCACACTTTACGGTGCTTTTTCAAATTCTCAGGTTTGATCAACTAAATGGTAGCTGGCAAGAGAAGTAAAATAAAATAAAAAAGTTAATATTTATCTCTACTGTTGTTGTTAATTTATGTTACTTTGCAAGTAATGTTTCTGATAAAAGAAATGAAGACAACATGTATTACTCAATACTCATCTTCCTTTATTGAATCATTAATTTTTAGCAAAAATACTTTATTAGAAATTCTGATTTTTTCTGTACAAAAGACTTGTACTGTTTACTCGTATCTCTGTATCACCACATATTTAATAAAAACCCTTCTAAACAATGATAAAATTGAATTTGAAATAACATTCAAATAATAAGAATGAACTAGCAAATACAAAGACACTAGTTGCTTATCCTCCTTACCTAGTGTCTTTTGATTTAAAGGGAATGATAATAATTAAGACATCTGTTGCAGTAAATGTTTGCCACTGTAAAACAACACTGTATGATGAATTCTTATTGTCAATCATTATGCTGCAATTTACACATCGAATTTTAAACTAATGTTTATCTTATTTTAGCCATTGGTACTGATTTTTGTAGAAGTTTTTAATATCACATGAGGAGTGTGTGTCCTAATGACCAGAACTTTATTGAAAGTTTAGGAAACAACTGAATGATATAAAACATAGGTGAGACTAGATGAGATTGTTGATTGACCACCGAGTCAGCCAGTTAACTTAGTGCTGTAAATTTTTAGTGTTTTTAGCCAAGTACTAGAAATAAAAGAGGTATCTTAAGTACAAGAAAATTAGGAATCTATTGAGGCATTATTTATTTGTGAAGTTAGGCCTGTCATTAGTTACATGGAATTTGTGCTCATTGTAAAACTTGTAGTCTGAGAAATAAAATGTTTTCGTTATTAATAAATGGACTGAACTTGCATTTTAATTTTTTACCAAATAATCCAAAAAGAGAGAGCCTTTCCAACCTTAGAAACCATTACAACACTGGTGTCAAAAGTGGTAAAAATAAAGTTCTAACTTCAAGATGTTAAAACAGTCTTGTAGTGAGATTAATATTTTCTGGAAATGAAGAAACAGTGGAAAAATGATTAAAAAAAAGAGAGAGAAAGAGAATATTAAAAGAAGACCAAGAAAAATTAGAAGAAAAATACAGAAAATATAAAGATCAAGAAAAAAGTGGCAAAAATTGAAAGACAGTTACAAAAATTAACAGAAGGTCCAGAAAATTAGAGGAAAGAGGCAGTAATTGAAGAGAAGAATTACAACAACAAGATGGACAGTTTACAGAAGACTTGTGAATCCAGATCAGTAAGGTGGAAGAAATGATATAACATTTACAAATTGAAGTTGAAAAAACCTTAAGAGATGTACAGAAAGATTATAATAAAATTCAAAAAGACATCAATGAAGTGCAAAACAATTATAAAAAGGTTACCAAAGAACAAAATAATGCTAATATAAAACATGTGGTAAATGAATTTGCAAGTGCAAGGATTAAATCACATCTTTCTGTACTGGCTTAAGAATTCAAATCTCAGGCACCATCAACTGTTATGGAATAGGAAAACTCGTCTGGTTTACGTATGTTACCACTACTGCATGATTTTTGTAAACTATTCCAGCCGCAACTAATGTGATCTAGAAGAACTCTTAAGGATTGGGTAACTGTTAACTCAGAATGGAAGAAGTAACCTATATGACAGGTGTTTCAATTGCATCTTAAAAGGGGATATTACCAGGAAGCACAGAGGAAATAGAAACTGCTTCCAAGAATGACAGGAAAAAGGAAACTATTATAGGGGTGGAAAACATGGACATTATTTCCTTAGAATGAGAATATCTGGTTTGATTGAGATGAGTTCATTATTTTTTTTAAGAAATCAGTCTACAAGTTAGTGGATTCATTGATGGGAATCCTTACAACATTTTGATTGACACTGATTTCACAACTACCATTGTTCAAGCAGATTTGATAATGAAATGTGCATAATTTCCTACAGGAATGAACCAAGATGATGGATTGACATGAACAGCAAGTGATCATAAAGTTCCAGCAAGAGAAATGTTAGATGATTTTTGATATTGAGGAAAAATAAATATCTGAAAATAGGCATCATGCAGAATCATGGATGTAAGGTTATTCTTGTTTCAAACAGTTTCACAGTCTATGACCAGGAAATCCATTTATACTACAAGAAAATTACACTACCATTGGCTGGATTTCCAGTGTCAACACATGATAATGAAAAAATCTAACATAAAGTGCAATAGAGCAAAATACCAAAAGAAAAGCAGTTTAAATAAAAAGCCATCCATCATGTTTAACTTTGGAAATACATTGTTAAGAGAGCAGCCTACTGCTTAGCTTCAGAGAAGTTGTTGCCAGAAGTAGATCACCTTATTAAAGTGTCTGAGGTCCCTGTCAAGACTACTTCCAGAGTATAATCGGGGATGGAGCAACCAATGGATTCATTTTACCATCTATCTGAAGATAACTTCTTATTGGCAAAATGCAAGTGTTGATAAAGGACAAGAGGTCATCCAATCCTTGTACCATAACTCATGGAAAAGAAACCACCAAATAGATTTGGTAGCTGGACAGTTTAAATATCATAAATAAATAAAGAAAATCATATTTTGTTAATTAAATTTTCATTGTACTTTGTTTCACATAATTAATGATTGTAATGTTTATTTATAAATACATATGATGTCAATTGTCAAAATTTACTTCATTGTTAATTATCAAAGTTTAATGTAATGTACCATTGTCTTCTTGTGTAGCATAATTGTTTAAGAGACTTCACAATCCAGGAAGGGGAAAATGTTATAGGCTATGCTTTTTTAATTTTGACCAAAGGGAATTTTTAATGTCACATGATGATCATGTGTTTTAATGACTAGAACTTTCTAGAAAGTGTAGGTAAGGATTTGAACAGTATAAAATGCAAGTTAGGCAAGATTTTTAATTGATTATTAAGTCAGCCAGTTAATTAGTTAAGAGCTGTAAATTTTGAGTTTGTGTTCTCAGTGGAGTACTAGAGGTACAATAAGTACCAAACATATGAAAGAAAATAAAGTGGAATATGTATTTTTGTGTGAGGTTAAGCCTATTATTAGAAAAAAATAAAGTGGAATATGTATTTTTGTGTGAGGTTAAGCCTATTATTAGAAAAAAATAAAGTGGAATATGTATTTTTGTGTGAGGTTAAGCCTATTATTAGTTACGTGAAATTTTTACAAGTTGCAGAACTTAGTTTGAGAAATAAAACACTTTCATTATCACTGAGTTGATTGGACTTTACCAAATAATCTACAAAGAACATGCCCAACAATAGAAAACAGTACTATATATAGAAGGTAACTATGGTTGATTACATGTGTGTGATTAATTGCAGGAAATTTGATTAATCTCATATAAGTGGCATTTATAATTTTTGCATATTTATAGTATTTTCTGTATTACCAAATTCAAGAAACAAAAGATTATACACTTAGTAATGGACATAAAAAACACTACTGTTACAACAGTATTCTATAAAATTCATTTTTATCATCACCTGATCTTCTGTGAGTTTTGCTGCATTACACATTATATGATATGACACTTATTGCTAAAAGCTTTCATTAAAAAAAATTCAATTGATCAGATAATGATGATAAAAAAATTATCAATTTGTTTTAGACTTCACTGTGAGTAGGGTCCACATATTGCACATAACAAGTAATTTCATGTTTTTTTGACTTAGCATAAAGAATTGGTAAAAAAACTGGATGAAATCAATGATTTTCAATCTAAGATAGATAGGAAACCCCAGCAATAATTATTGGAATTAACTGCAATACTATTGGTATTGTTAAAATAAATTGTGACTTGTGTAATTAGGGACACGATAACCAACAATACCATTTACCCACAAGCAGTATGGTGCATAAATAGTTCCATACATATATATGGAGGGAGTAAAGTGTTTTTTTTATTAAAAAAAATTTATTATGATATACATGCTGTGTATATAATACATAAGGTTTACAAGCAGAAAATTCTCATGAATTTTGGTCATTATATATTGGTAATTACAAAACTTTTTAAATTTTAAGTTAATTTCTAACACCTTCAAAAAAAATTGTTTATATCTTAATAAAAATAATTTTCCATTGTAAGCATCTCACTGTGCAGTGCACTAGTTGGTGGTATATCTGAAAGTACTTAACAGAAAGGGTTGTAGCATGCTTTTTTTTTTAATAATTACGTTTTTCTTTATAAAATAGTATATTTTACTAATACATTCCTCTGGGACATTACTTTTTTTACAAATATTTCCATTGAAAAATATTTTTATTTGCATTTTCTTTTACAATATTCAAATGTATTATATGCTACAGGGTAGAACATAGAGATATTCAGTTTTAATATCTCAAACTATTTTTTTTTCAAGCACTTGAAAAGTTGTATGTCAGTATAATATATCTTCAGTTATGTTGATAATATTTGTACATCTGAAACATTGAATTATGTATTTCTTTCCAGAGGAGGATGTTGATGAGGAAGATTCTTTCAAGAAAGGTATGGTGATCTCAGTTGGACATTTTAGTTCCATTGTGTTATGTATGTAAACTTAGCATTAATTTTTGTGTGACTGTTTCTAATTTCTCGCCAGTAATAATTTAAACCTATAAGGCATAGATCATGCATAATCAAATCAGCTTTTAGATGTTACAAATCAGCTTGCATGATTTGCTGAATTCAAAAATTAAGATTTTGTGTAAGTAATGCCTTCATATTTACAAATTATTGTGATTTACAAGTTAATAATAAATATTAGTATAACATTATATTTTAGTAATGTAGCATGTATTTTGCTGTAAGCAGTCAAACTTTTCATTTAAATGCTTATCACAACTACTATTGTTTTTTAAATAATCAATTTCACACTATAATGTAGATTTACCACTACTTGTGACATAACTAACAATTGTTGTTCAAATAGTTTTTTGACATAAATAGCATCGCAACCATTACTACCTGTCTTGTTCTGACCTACCAGAAGAGCCCTGGAGTTGGGCAGAAAGTCTCATCAGCACTTGACAAA